CCCGAGCCCAAGGCCACCCACTTAAAGCCAAACAAGTGGCACACAAAGCGTTCTAACATTTGAAGCATGCGTGCAACACAAAGATGCTCCTGAACCACGTGAGGACGGCGGCCTGCGGTAGGGAGAGAAGGAGAAGAAATAAAACTACAGACAGGCACTTGCACTGAAACAGGGGAGGACATCAGGCGGCCAGGGGGAGACCCGTTGTGCCAGCTGCACCCGACACTGGCAGAGGAGGAAAGCAAAACCAGAAGCGAAGGACACGGTCACGTCTACTCTACAACGAGCGCACAGGGTTCACATCCTCCAGCTCTGGCCGGAGCCCAGCACCGACACACTCACTCCACAGCTTCCTCGGAGCTAGCCTGAGCACACAGCAGCCCACAGGGCCCCAGCTCACACGACCACCTCTGTCCACAGCGACACGGGCCCCAGCTCACACGACCACCTCTGTCCACAGCGACACAGGCCTCAGCTCACACGACCACCTCTGTCCACAGCGACACAGGCCTCAGCTCACACGACCACCTCTGTCCACAGCGACACGGGCCCCAGCTCACACGACCACCTCTGTCCACAGCGACACGTACCTTCTGACATGGCGAGCTCACTTGGAGGCGGCTGCGGCACGCCGGAAGCGATTGAGTCAGGCCAAAACCTCTGAACCGGCCTGTTCTGAGCCGTTTTTTTCTTTGTTTTCGGGGTCTCTGAGCAACTGGAATCCAGCATTGGCTGGAGAATTCGTCTTCTAGCATTGATGAACCTGTGAGAAGGAAGGGACATGGAGAGCCTCCTGCAGTCCACGTTCCTAATGAACACACCTAGCAATCAGGCCCCGAGATCCAACAGTGAAATGAATGAGTGAGCAAAGTCTCCAGAAACCTAGGGCCTGCCATTTACATAGCAATTGGTTTAAATAAGGATCCACTCTTCCATGGCACCTTTCTGGTTTTTGGTGAAGGGTTTCTGTTTTGTTTTTATACCTCATCTGCAATTGATCTTAGCTAAAACAAACAGAAAAAGGCTGAGAAGTAAATTTTTAAGCTCACCTGATTTTCTCTACATGGGTGAAATCAGGCATTCATGATGACACAAATGTGGATACGACATTATTTTTTGTAAGGAAGAAAATGTTCAAGTAGCAAGACTTTATGAATCCAGTCCTCTCCTCCTGCCTGAGGCTGCGTGCTGTGCCGCTGGCCAGACCACATGCTGGGCCACCAGGGAGCTCTCTGGCTCACCAGAGTAAGGGCCTGGGTAACGCTCCACCGCTTCCCGACACCATTCCAGATGGTGAGCTACCTAGCACAGCGCCTGTGTGTGGACAGTGATTGACCCCCTGGGACTGCGCTGCTCTGTGTGCTGGGGGCGGGGGTGGGGCCGCAGGTCTGGAGGGCAGGGAGCAGCTAAGCAGGACTCACAAAGCTACATCACAGCAACAACAACTTGGACCTTATTCTACATGACATTATTCTATTTCTCTCTGTTGTCCTTACAGTAACAGGTCAAACTACTGCCAATGAGCACCCCTGAGAAGTTGAGTATTTATCCAGCACAAACCATTGAAGCTGTTTTTGAGGAAACTACTCAACTTAGGAACTGAAACACACAAAGCAGTCAGCAGGCGGCCCCGGGTGGCTGCAGGCCAGGGTGGTTATGAGCTGGAGGGGCTTTGGGCTTGGGACAGTCTTGTGTGGCCTCCCTTTCCCTCACACTGGAAGGCCGGGCTGGTAGGGCATTCTCTGCACTCATGAACAGGGAAGGAAGAGCAGGTGGGGTCAAGGCAGGGCCCACCCACTGGGGAGAAAAGCCACATCAACTTGGAACTTCCTAAAGTCTCTGGCCTGGCCCCTCTCTGTCCTAGCTCCCCACGCCGGCCACCACCCAGTGCCTGAGGCTCTACAGGAGGCCTGCCCAGCCTGGACCATGGACCCATGAGATGCTCCCACTTGGACACTAAGCCTGCGCTAGCATTCTACCTGAAGGCATTACCTCAAGTGGTACGATGTGTTATTGCTACCCAAATAAAATAACAGCCCTAATACAAAATCATAGAAAAAAATTTTGGTGTATGCTGGTCTTGGGACTTGAACTCAGGACCTGGGTTCTGTCCTTGAAGTTTGTATTTCTTTTTCTTTTCCTCAAAGCTAGTGCTCTACCACTTGAGCCACAACTCTAACATTGGCTTTTTGGTGATTAATGGAGGTAAGCATCTCAGGGACTTTCCTACCTGACCTGGCTTCAAACCATGATCCTCAGATCTCAACCTTCTGAGTAGCTAGGATTAGAGATGTGATCCACTAATACCTGGCACAATAGAAGTATTTAATGCAACACTAAAGCATACCTGGTTGCATCTATGCATAAATATAAAAGTCTGTTGCTTATATTGAAATTTTAACAATTTTACATGTTAGCATAGATAAAGTAAGGACAATAATGTTTACAACTGGTAGGATTTGTGCCTTCTCTTATGCATACCAGAAGCTGACATTGCTTCTCACACCTGAATAAGAAAAGTGAGACAAGTAACCACGCTACTGAATGGAGCTGCACCTCTACACAAGAGCACTGGGTGGAAAGCGTCCTCTCTCTGGAGGAAAACACATGGCCGGGGTCCGAGTGACCTTACCAGGACGTGACCCCAGACCCAGAAGAGGATGTTCCATCCACAAATAGCCATGTCCCTGGGCATGCTCTCAGCGAATGGCTCCAGGCCCTGCCACGCAACACAACTGTCTCAGAACAGATGGGAGAGAAACTGCGCCCTTGAGCTACAGGTAGAAGCCAGAGCACCCCTGACTCTCGCTGTCCCGCCCAGAGGCCATCCCTGGGCGTCCCAGTTCAGAAAGATCGTGGGACTGGGGTGGAGGCGTCACTGAGAGACAGGCAGTCTGCAGTGGGCATGGAGATGAAGCAGGGGGCGGGCCGTGAGCACGCGCATTCCTGGCGCCCTGCCAGCAATGGCAGCTCTCGGGGGACGGGGTCTCGCCAGCTCAGAGCATGCAGACGTCTCAACAGTATTTCCTTTTCTTTTTTTTGCCAGTCCTGGGGCTTGAACTCAGGGTCTGGGCACTGTCTCTGAGCCTCTTTGTGCTCAAGGCTAGCGTTCTACTACTTGAGCCACAGTGCCACTTCTGGCTTTTTCTAAGTAGTTTATCAGCGATAGGAGTCTCACGAGCTTGCTTGCCCCGGCTGGTTTCAAGCTACAGTCCTCACACCTCACCCTCCTAAGTAGCCAGGATGACAGGTGTGAGTTCGGGTGCTCCTCCACTTGCAAGCCCTGCCTTGAGCCCCCCACCAGCTCTTCCTTCCCCGCCCATGAGTGCAGATACTGTCCTCGCTGATAACTGGCCTGTTAGCAGAGCGTGCCTTCCTGTGAAGGGGAAGGGTGGGAACAGCTAGACTGTCCCCAGCCCAAAGCCCATCCAGCTCTCGACTCCCCTTGGCCTGCAGCCACCTGGGGCTGCTGACTGATTGTTTTGTGTGTATGGGTCACCTCTCCAGGTTCTATTGCAGTAAGGACATGGTGTCAGAAAGCTGTGCATCTGTCTTACCAGTTGTTCACTTGGAGTAGTGTCAGATTTGTCTGAGCAGCAATCTGCTTTTTCTCATCTTCTGTTGGGTAAGGATGCTAAAAAATAAAAGGAGAGTTTGTTCATGACCTTAACTCTTAAGAAGAAAATAGAAGCATACAAATTACCAAGAATAAAAGCTGGTATCAGTAGCACTTTTAGCCAAACTTAACTTTAGTCTTACAAATCTTTTTTCAACATAACGTTGTTAGGAGGAGGGTGGTGTAGAGAGGGGTTACCGTTTCCTAAGCCGGGTAACGAGCACATTTCTTTTTTGGACGGTGTCACCCCTTCCTTTTCTCTCTCCTAGTCTCCCCGGTCCGGGATCACGTGTTGCATAGCTCATTTTCCACACAGGGTATACTGAATACCATGACTACATTTGTTCACCCCTCCTCTCTTTCTGCACTATCCATTGCCTCCCCCTTAAAAGACAAAAAGAAAGGCTAAAAACAAACACCACCACACCGCCACCAACAGAAATCCATGCTGCCATTTCTTAGTATTCAATTTTTATTTATTATTTTTTGCCAATCCTGGGGCTTGAACTCTGGACCTGGGCACTGTCCCTGAGCTTCTTCTGCTCAAGGCTAGCACTCTACCATTTTAGCCACAGTGCCACTTCCAGTTTTTCTGTGTATGTGGTACTGAGGAATCTAACCCAGAGCTTCATGCACACCAGCAAGCACTCTACCACTAATCTACATTCCCTGCCTCTTAGTATTCATTTTGTTTAAATATTCAGAGGAGTTTTCCCTTTAGGTTCCTCCCCTAAGAGTAACCTCCTGTGGCCTGTGTGAGAGACAGTCCTGTAGCCTGTGTGTGTGTGAGACAGTCCTGTAGCCTGTGTGTGTGTGTGAGACAGTCCTGTAGACTGTGTGAGAGACAGTCCTGTAGCCTGTGTGAGAGACAGTCCTGTAGCCTGTGTGTGTGTGACAGTCCTGTAGCCTGTGTGTGTGTGTGAGACAGTCCTGTAGCCTGTGTGTGTGTGTGTGAGACAGTCCTGTAGCCTGTGTGTGTGTGTGAGACAGTCCTGTAGCCTGTGTGAGAGACAGTCCTGTGGCCTGTGTGTGTGAGAGACAGTCCTGTAGCCTGTGTGAGAGACAGTCCTGTAGCCTGTGTGTGTGAGAGACAGTCCTGTAGCCTGTGTGAGAGACAGTCCTGTAGCCTGTGTGAGAGACAGTCCTGTAGCCTGTGTGAGAGACAGTCCTGTAGCCTGTGTGTGTGAGAGACAGTCCTGTAGCCTGTGTGAGAGACAGTCCTGTAGCCTGTGTGTGTGTGTGAGACAGTCCTGTAGCCTGTGTGAGAGACAGTCCTGTAGCCTGTGTGTGTGTGAGACAGTCCTGTAGCCTGTGTGAGAGACAGTCCTGTAGCCTGTGTGAGAGACAGTCCTGTAGCCTGTGTGTGTGTGAGACAGTCCTGTAGCCTGTGTGTGAGACAGTCCTGTAGCCTGTGTGTGTGAGAGACAGTCCCGTAGCCTGTGTGAGACAGTCCTGTAGCCTGTGTGTGAGACAGTCCTGTAGCCTGTGTGTGTGTGAGACAGTCCTGTGGCCTGTGTGTGTGAGAGACAGTCCTGTAGCCTGTGTGTGTGTGAGACAGTCCTGTAGCCTGTGTGTGTGTGAGACAGTCCTGTAGCCTGTGTGTGTGAGAGACAGTCCTGTAGCCTGTGTGTGTGTGAGACAGTCCTGTAGCCTGTGTGAGAGACAGTCCTGTAGCCTGTGTGTGTGTGAGACAGTCCTGTAGCCTGTGTGTGTGTGAGACAGTCCTGTAGCCTGTGTGAGAGACAGTCCTGTAGCCTGTGTGAGACAGTCCTGTAGCCTGTGTGTGAGACAGTCCTGTAGCCTGTGTGTGTGTGAGACAGTCCTGTAGCCTGTGTGTGTGAGAGACAGTCCTGTAGCCTGTGTGTGTGTGAGACAGTCCTGTAGCCTGTGTGAGAGACAGTCCTGTAGCCTGTGTGTGTGTGAGACAGTCCTGTGGCCTGTGTGAGAGACAGTCCTGTAGCCTGTGTGTGAGACAGTCCTGTGGCCTGTGTGTGTGAGACAGTCCTGTAGCCTGTGTGTGTGAGAGACAGTCCTGTAGCCTGTGTGTGTGAGAGACAGTCCTGTAGCCTGTGTGTGTGTGAGACAGTCCTGTAGCCTGTGTGAGAGACAGTCCTGTAGCCTGTGTGTGTGTGAGACAGTCCTGTAGCCTGTGTGTGTGTGAGACAGTCCTGTAGCCTGTGTGAGAGACAGTCCTGTAGCCTGTGTGAGACAGTCCTGTAGCCTGTGTGTGAGACAGTCCTGTAGCCTGTGTGTGTGTGAGACAGTCCTGTAGCCTGTGTGTGTGAGAGACAGTCCTGTAGCCTGTGTGTGTGTGAGACAGTCCTGTAGCCTGTGTGAGAGACAGTCCTGTAGCCTGTGTGTGTGTGAGACAGTCCTGTAGCCTGTGTGTGTGAGAGACAGTCCTGTAGCCTGTGTGTGTGAGAGACAGTCCTGTAGCCTGTGTGAGAGACAGTCCTGTAGCCTGTGTGTGTGTGAGACAGTCCTGTAGCCTGTGTGTGAGACAGTCCTGTAGCCTGTGTGTGTGTGAGACAGTCCTGTAGCCTGTGTGTGTGTGAGACAGTCCTGTAGCCTGTGTGAGAGACAGTCCTGTAGCCTGTGTGAGAGACAGTCCTGTGGCCTGTGTGTGTGTGAGACAGTCCTGTAGCCTGTGTGTGAGACAGTCCTGTAGCCTGTGTGTGTGAGAGACAGTCCTGTAGCCTGTGTGTGTGTGAGACAGTCCTGTAGCCTGTGTGTGTGTGAGACAGTCCTGTAGCCTGTGTGTGTGAGAGACAGTCCTGTAGCCTGTGTGTGTGAGAGACAGTCCTGCAGCCTGTGTGTGTGTGAGACAGTCCTGTAGCCTGTGTGTGTGTGAGACAGTCCTGTAGCCTGTGTGTGTGAGAGACAGTCCTGTGGCCTGTGTGTGTGAGACAGTCCTGTAGCCTGTGTGAGAGACAGTCCTGTAGCCTGTGTGAGAGACAGTCCTGTAGCCTGTGTGTGTGTGAGACAGTCCTGTAGCCTGTGTGTGTGAGAGACAGTCCTGTAGCCTGTGTGTGTGTGAGACAGTCCTGTAGCCTGTGTGTGTGAGACAGTCCTGTAGCCTGTGTGAGAGACAGTCCTGTAGCCTGTGTGAGAGACAGTCCTGTAGCCTGTGTGTGTGTGAGACAGTCCTGTAGCCTGTGTGTGTGAGACAGTCCTGTAGCCTGTGTGAGAGACAGTCCTGTAGCCTGTGTGTGAGACAGTCCTGTAGCCTGTGTGTGTGAGAGACAGTCCTGTAGCCTGTGTGTGTGTGAGACAGTCCTGTAGCCTGTGTGTGTGTGAGACAGTCCTGTAGCCTGTGTGTGTGAGAGACAGTCCTGTAGCCTGTGTGTGTGTGAGACAGTCCTGTAGCCTGTGTGAGAGACAGTCCTGTAGCCTGTGTGAGAGACAGTCCCGTAGCCTGTGTGAGACAGTCCTGTAGCCTGTGTGTGAGACAGTCCTGTAGCCTGTGTGTGTGTGAGACAGTCCTGTGGCCTGTGTGTGTGTGAGACAGTCCTGTAGCCTGTGTGTGTGAGAGACAGTCCTGTAGCCTGTGTGTGAGACAGTCCTGTAGCCTGTGTGTGTGAGAGACAGTCCTGTAGCCTGTGTGTGTGTGAGACAGTCCTGTAGCCTGTGTGTGTGAGAGACAGTCCTGTAGCCTGTGTGTGTGAGAGACAGTCCTGTAGCCTGTGTGTGTGTGAGACAGTCCCGTAGCCTGTGTGAGAGACAGTCCTGTAGCCTGTGTGAGAGACAGTCCTGTAGCCTGTGTGTGTGAGAGACAGTCCTGTAGCCTGTGTGAGAGACAGTCCTGTAGCCTGTGTGTGTGTGAGACAGTCCTGTAGCCTGTGTGTGTGAGAGACAGTCCTGTGGCCTGTGTGTGTGTGAGACAGTCCTGTAGCCTGTGTGAGAGACAGTCCTGTAGCCTGTGTGAGAGACAGTCCTGTAGCCTGTGTGTGTGTGAGACAGTCCTGTAGCCTGTGTGTGTGAGAGACAGTCCTGTAGCCTGTGTGTGTGTGAGACAGTCCTGTAGCCTGTGTGTGTGAGACAGTCCTGTAGCCTGTGTGAGAGACAGTCCTGTAGCCTGTGTGAGAGACAGTCCTGTAGCCTGTGTGTGTGTGAGACAGTCCTGTAGCCTGTGTGTGTGTGAGACAGTCCTGTAGCCTGTGTGTGTGAGAGACAGTCCTGTGGCCTGTGTGTGTGTGAGACAGTCCTGTAGCCTGTGTGAGAGACAGTCCTGTAGCCTGTGTGAGAGACAGTCCTGTAGCCTGTGTGTGTGTGAGACAGTCCTGTAGCCTGTGTGTGTGTGAGACAGTCCTGTAGCCTGTGTGTGTGTGAGACAGTCCTGTAGCCTGTGTGTGTGTGAGACAGTCCTGTAGCCTGTGTGTGTGTGAGACAGTCCTATAGCCTGTGTGTGTGAGAGACAGTCCTGTAGCCTGTGTGAGAGACAGTCCTGTAGCCTGTGTGTGTGAGAGACAGTCCTGTAGCCTGTGTGTGTGAGAGACAGTCCTGTAGCCTGTGTGTGTGTGAGACAGTCCTGTAGCCTGTGTGTGTTTGAGACAGTCCTGTAGCCTGTGTGTGTGAGAGACAGTCCTGTAGCCTGTGTGTGTGTGAGACAGTCCTGTAGCCTGTGTGAGAGACAGTCCTGTAGCCTGTGTGAGAGACAGTCCCGTAGCCTGTGTGAGACAGTCCTGTAGCCTGTGTGTGAGACAGTCCTGTAGCCTGTGTGTGTGTGAGACAGTCCTGTAGCCTGTGTGTGTGTGAGACAGTCCTGTAGCCTGTGTGTGTGTGAGACAGTCCTGTAGCCTGTGTGTGTGTGAGACAGTCCTGTAGCCTGTGTGTGTGTGAGACAGTCCTGTAGCCTGTGTGTGTGTGAGACAGTCCTGTAGCCTGTGTGAGAGACAGTCCTGTAGCCTGTGTGAGAGACAGTCCTGTAGCCTGTGTGTGTGTGAGACAGTCCTGTAGCCTGTGTGAGAGACAGTCCTGTAGCCTGTGTGAGAGACAGTCCTGTAGCCTGTGTGAGAGAC